TGCTGGTCATTATGCCACAATGCATGTACAGGCCAGCTTACTTAAGCCGTCTCTTCTTTCTGTCCCTGCAATTCCATTCAGGGGTGCCCTCTGCTCAGGAAATGTCTGTCCCTGTCCCCATATGGTAATCCCACCTGGGTATGCCACTCCTCGGGGAACTTCTGTATAGTTAAACCTCTGGGGATGCCCTCTCTTTGGGCTACTGCTGTGCCTCTCTGTTTTTACATGCAGTAGAATTATGGGTGTGACAGACTTTCATCTTGCAGTTCACTGGCCAATGAAATCCAGGCTTGCTCCAGTCTCTCCTCTCCCTTTAACTGGCTCAATGACGTAAATATCAAATGTAAAGTAGTGGAAACAAGAAGCCTCCTGGAAGCCTTGGCCTAAACTGAGTTCTGGAATCTACATTTACCAGAGGGTCTTAATGGGAACTTGCTCTACTGTTACCAAGCATACGAGATGAAAAAGTGGAACCAAAATACCAGACAGGGACATGAAGGCTTTAAGTGTTCCTGCAGTTGTAGCAGGAAACTTATGGTTCCAGTTGGGGCCAATCTAAAAACAAACAATGATTCAACATACAGAGTTCCTGGGCACCAAAGAGTAGAACAATTTCTGCTATCACAGCCAATATCCTCCTTTGATTGGGACTCTAAGCCAGGACAGTAGCCAGGGTGACTATAAGGCATAGAGCAGCCAGGTTCCACACAGGCCTTGGGGCACGGGATCAAGAGACAGCAATTCCAAATTGTGTTATCAGGTGTTGAATTGCATATAGGCCCAAAGAGAGACCTAAAAATAAGTTAAATTCATGTGGTTTTTACATTAATAACTGGATCACTGGCCCACAAGAGGTAAATCCTGACTGTGGTAGTCAAGATGTAGAGAAAAACACAGTGAGTTCACCATGGAGAGGTTGGGAGGGGGGAGGAGAGAGGAGTTATTTTAACAAGGATCAGGAAAAGAATAATGAATCCTTTATTCTGTGTATTATTCTCTTCCTGCATTTGAGTAAAGAAAAAAAGTCAATGGAATTATCCCAAATTCAAAGGTTAAGAAGGAAATATATAACCTTATTCCAGATTCAAGGAGAAACAGGAACCAAAAGTATTCTCAGTCATGAAGCAGAATAGAAAACACTTCACTTCAGTAAGCGAAAAATGAAGGGTCACATTGCCCAAGCTGGAAGATGAGAGGAATTTCCGTAGGACAAAAGTTGCAATTTTAATGGCCAGGCTAAAATAGGGCCAGGCCATCTCCAGAGGACCTAAGATGTGGAGACACTACTTACCTACAGGCGGGCAGTTAATTGTGAGAGCAACTGTGGGAGCCTCCCTCCTTGATACCTAGGGCAGCTGCCTTGGGGAGTCACACAGATGTAGACAGACAGGAGTAGAAAATCAGCCTCGCATACACCCATCCTTACTATAAGTTTCTTGGTAACACAGATAATTTAGGGAAGCTGGTGAGGGCCACTCCCTGAGGGAACTCCATGCCCTCAGGATTCCACAGGAAGGTACAGGAGAGGCGAGACACAGGCTACTGAAGACAGTCCTGCCACAACAGTCCAGGCCCAGGCCTGATTAGATGCTGCACTGACCTCTGCATATAATCACCCAGTTGAGTCTAGCCATGGAAGCACCAGTGAGGAAAACAAGAATATTTACTCCTCTCACTCATGCCTCCATCTACTCTCATTACCCCAGATACTGCCAAGAGTTTGCTTGTTTTGGCTAGAATAATATCGGAAATATACTGTGGCTTCTTAGTAGAAATGCTCTAGAGGCTATGAGGTTGCCCTGGGCTAAAGAAGTTCTCAAGACACACAGACCTTTAAACCTGGGACAAGTTGGTCACACTTGGTAAAGAGTGTATTTCCTCCAAAATACCCAGGGACTGGAGTCAGCATCTGGCACTCCAAAAAGATTCCCACTGCCAATTCAAAGACTAATAAAAGCGATAATAAGCATGGATTACTCAGATCATCCTTTCTATTCTGTAACTCCCAGGTGATTTAGAAATGGCATATAAAAGTAATTAAAAGGCACCTTATTGGTTATACATCTTAATCAAACAGTAGTCTACTTACATAAAAAAAGTGAGCTAAATATCCCCTTCTAAGGGATGAGTTTTGGATATGAATTCAGGGAAGATGTATGCTTTCTAGCAGGCCTGCTTTACTTTACAAGTCTGCACCAGGTCACCCTGTTTAGGAGGATGCTCAGATTAAACCAGGCTGACATACAACAACTAAATACAGTGTAGGATCCCTGATTGGATCCTAAACATTAACAAGACAATTAGTGAAATTTCAATAAGGTCTGTATATTACACTTAATAGAATTATATCAATGTAAATTTCCCGATTTCAATAATCCTACGAGAGTCATATAAGATGTTCACATCTGGGGAAGCTAGGTGAAGGGCATAAGAAAATCTGTACTATTTTTGCAACTTTTTGTAAATCTAAAGTTATTTCAAAATAAAAAGCTTTTTAAAAAGAGCCTTTTCTGGGAGCTGGGCACAGTGGCTCAGGCCTGTAATCCCAGAACTTTGGGAGACTGTGGTGGGTAGCTCCATTGAGCTCAAGAGTTCAAGACCAGTGTGGGCAACATGGCGAAACCCTGTATCTACCATAAATACAAAAAAATAAGAAAATTAGCTGGACATGGTGAAGCGTGCTTGTAGTCCCAGCTACCCTGGAGGCTGAGGTGGGAGGATCATCCAGCCCAGAGGTTGAGGCTGTGGTGAGCCATGACTGCACCACTGCACACACTCCAGCCTGGGCAACAGAATGAGACCTTGTCAAAAAAAAAAATCCTCTTCCAAAAAATCCATGATTTCCTTTTTCTAACACATACACACAAAAACTCACACACATTAAAAATACCTTTTGATTCACATAAAACATGAGACTTATGAGCTTGTAACCATTAAAACAAGTTTATTGCTTATAAAAACAGAAAGCTAGAGACAATTTAGTTATCTGGCAGATGAGAAATAGGCTAGTATGCCACAGCTGTGATGCAAGCCATGACAAATACATCTATCTTGGGCGACACTGATTTTTCACCTCCAAGCACAGTATTAGGCACATACCTAAAACTCTAATATTTAATAAAAGCATGAATCCATATGATGAATGATTATACAAGCATTTTCAAAGATGTTTAAGAAGAATTTATAGTGATCCATGAAAATGCTAAGTGAGAAAATATGAGGTGGAAAGAGAAAGCAACAGTGTGAAGTAATATAACAATATTATTCCTATAATGTAACAATACTACCCCAATTTTGTGTCTATTCATATACACAAAAATACAAAAATTAGGAAGAAATGCATCAAAATGTTAATATGGCAAAATTACAGATTTTAATTTTAAGAAGAAATGCATCAAAATGTTAATGTGGCAAAATTACAGATTTTAATTTTCATCCTTATACTTTTCTCTGTCTTCCAAGTTTACAATGAAAAACAGTTGGCCGGGCGTGGTGGCTCATGCCTGTAATTCCAGCACTTTGGGAGGCCAAGGTGGGCAGATCACCTGAGATTAGGAGTTCGAGACCAACCTGGCCAACATGGTGAAACCCCATAGAGAAAAATTGTGTTTTCTCTACTAAAAACACAGAAATTAGCCGGGCGTGGTGGCAGGTGCCTGTAATCCCAGCTACTCAGGAGGCTAAGACTGGAGAATTGCTTGAACCTGGGAAGCGGAGGGTGCAGTGAGCCAAGATTGCGCCACTGCACTCTAGCCTGGGCGACAGAGCAAGACTCCGTCTCAAAAAAAAAAAAAAAAGTTGCACTTTGGGAGGCCGAGGCGGGTGGATCGCGAGGTCAAGAGATCGAGACCATCCTGGTCAACATGGTGAAACCCCGTCTCTACTAAAAATACAAAAAATTAGCTGGGCATGGTGGCGCATGCCTGTAATCCCAGCTACTCAGGAGGCTGAGGCAGGAGAATTGCCTGAACCCAGGAGGCGGAGGTTGCAGTGAGCCGAGATCGCGCCATTGCACTCCAGCCTGGATAACTAGAGCGAAACTCCGTCTCAAAAAAAAAAAAAAAAAAAGAAAACATCTAGTCCTCTAGATTTGTATGACTTTAAGTTGAAAGTAGACACTACAAAATATATTTAACCGCTTTAAATCCCACAGGATTAGATTTAAACTCCGCAGTATTTAAGGCAATATGATACAACTGTGTTTGAGTCTTAATAAACCTCAGATGCACCTTTTAAGTCTGGGACCTCCATACACCGCCCTGTTGAAATAAGGTTTTACAGAAGGCAGCGCACAGCAATGCTAGCACTGTGAAGGCACCCGAAAATCAGACGCCGCCTGTAGGGGAGAACCCCATTCCATTCACGTTCCTCAGGTGTCCCAGGCACTAGCCAGACAGGTATCTATTATTTAAACTGTACAATATGTCCCAGTCAAAAGCCTGGAAACCCAATCACCTCGATGTGAGCATTATCCTGCAACTTTGCTCGGGCCAACCCCGCCTGGAGAAAGCCTAGCCCGCCCTGATCGCGGGACTGCTTCCTAGCAAGAAACCCCCCCACCCCCCCCCCAGCTGGCCCTTCCAAAAAGCACCCGTCACTCCGCTCCGCCGACAACCCCACCTATTGCCTCCTTTCCCAGAGCGCTGAGGCCCCCACATCCCCCATCCTGACTCCACCAGCCCCAAATTTCCGGCTGACTGCGTTTCCCTCAGGACTCAAACCTTCGCCCCAGACCCATATCCCCTCCACAAACCTCTGCCCTCCCCGGCGACCGCCACTCTCCTTAACACCTTCACTCGTCCCTGCCCCGACAGCCTCCGCGCCCATCCTAGTCCCACTTCCCATCCCCAGGGGTGCCGGCACTGAGAAGCGCCCCGGGAACGCAGGGCGGCGGCCGGGAGGAGCCCCTGGAGCCTGTAGCGGCCGAGGCTCAGTCGCTGCACGGAGCCGGGCTCTGGGCCTCGGACAGCTGGGGGTCTGTGGTGCCCTCCCCCACTCACCGGCTGCCGCACCGCTCCACGTCTTCGGGGGCGGGCCCGAGAGCTGGCGACAACCGGAGGCCGGGCGGGCGAGCGCTCTGTGCCGGGGGTGGGCGCCGCGGAGCGCTGGGCGTGTCAGACTCGGTGGGGCCTGGACGTGGTCACGCAGGAGGGGGCGGGGCCATGGCGGGAGAGGCGGGGCCTCACTGGGCGGTCGCCTTGGACGAGAACCTCGACCGGAACCGATCTGGAGAAACAAAAGGCGGCCCTTACTGGGCTGTCGCCTGGAACGGGAGCCCAGGCCTGCAAAAAGGGAGGGACCACCCTAGCACACTGACCACCCGCTGGGATCCGGAGGGCAGCGAGAGGCGGGGCTGAGAAGGAAGAGGCCTGGTTGGGCTGTCACTCCGAGCTGGGGTGGCACGCCGCCGGGCTCTCCGACAGTGAGCGGTCGGGGCGGGGAAGAGGAACACGCTCCTTCACTTTTCCCTCTTCCATCTCTTACAGACCAGAACCTGATTTTCTGGTCACGTTCAGGTATAAGAAGAAATCTCATTGTAACGGTAGCTCACTTTCAAGTTGTGAAAAACGCAGATCCATTTATAATTAAAACCTAACATCCAACTACAGCCAAATCCCTTTCAATAGTTTATAGGGTTTCCCAGTCGCTTACCTCTCTGAAAACCTCTTACTCTCCTACTTGCTGCTCTCCAGCCACACTGGTACCTTTGCTCCTCCTAGAACTCGCCAGACCAGACACCCTCCACCTCCTAACTCAGGGTCTTTGCCCCAGCCATTCCCTCTGCCCAGACAGCTCTTCCCTTAGATAGCTGCTTGGCTCACTTCCTCACCTCCCTCAGTCTGCTGGACTCTCACTTTCTCCCTGAGGCCCTTTCTAACCATCCTACCTATTATCTCTTCTCATCTCCTCCCTACCCTACCATTTCCTTACCTGCTCTCCTATTTCTTCTGTCCACCACATTTATTGACGTTGTTGTTGTTGTTGTTGTTTTGAGATAGTCTCCCTTTGTCATCCAGGCTGGAGTGGCACAATCTCGGCTTACTGCATCCTCTGCCTCCTGGGTTCGAGCGATTCTCCTGACTCAGCCTCCTAAATAGCTGGGATTACAGGCGTGAGCCACAACGCCCAGCTAATTTTTGTATTTTTTGTAGAGGCAGGGTTTCACCATGTTGGCCAAGCTGGTCTCGAACGACTGACCTCAGGTGATCCGCCTGCCTCGGCCTCGGAAAGTGCTGGGATTACAGGTATGAGCCACCGCGCCTGCCCCACACTTACTGACTTCTAAAATTTTATGTTGTTACATTTATCGTCAGTCTCTCTCCCTAGAATGTAAGTTTCACAGGACAGGGATTTTTGCCGGTTTTGTCCATTGATATACAGTAGTTCCCCCTTATTTGCAGTTTGGCTTTAAGTGTTTTTAGTTACCCAGGGTCTACCACAGTCTAAAAATAGGTGAGGCCAGAACAATAAGATATTTGGAGAGAGAGAGAGAGAGAGAGAGAGAGAGAGAGAGAGAGAGAGAGAGACCATATTTACCTTTTATTACAGTCTGTTTTATAATTGTTCTATTTTATTATTATTGTTGTTAATCCCTTACTGTACCTAATTTATAAATGAAACTTTATCATAGATGTGTATGTTTATATAGGAAAGAATAAATATAGTGTACATAGAGTTTTATACTATCCTTAGTTTCAAGCATCCACTGGGGATCTTGGAATGTATCTCCCGTAGATAATGGAGGATTACTCTATCCCCAATGTTTAGAACAGTGTTAGGTCCATAGTAGACAAACAATAACCTGAAATGAAAAATAAAAAAATGAATGGACACTTTCTGCCTCCGTACATCCAGCTTTGGCCAGATCGATGATTTAACGAACTACAGTGGGGAGAACGCTGGTCTGCTCTTTATTCTCCACACTTCTCTGGGTCTACCAGGTTCCAGGCAGGAGGCAGGGAGACTAAAGAAAGGAGCAGAAGACTAATTACTTGGTAGGAGCAGTTTGTATTCTTTCTAGACCACTGATGCTAGCATGTGGTCTAGCTGGCTCACAACATTATTAACCAGTTTTTGTGCAGCTGTCTTTTTGTAGGTCCTGTGTGGGTATGTCCAAAGGTTCTCTCTCTCTCTTCTGAAAATCAGGATAAATTATTTATGAACTTCAATAAGTTTAGACATAAATTACTCATTAGACTTTTGCTTTTAAATTGTACTCTTCCTATCTTCTTATCCTTGAACTTATGGCCATCCTTCATATAACTTCATTTTCTTATATTTATGTGACTGGAGGAATTAGGAAAAAAAATTGAATGAAAAAATAAAAGTCCTTTTCTCATGGATAATCTTATTTCATTTCCACTGTTAACACATTTAAACAAGGCTGGGCACGGTGGCTCAAGCCTGTAATCCCAGCACTTTGGAAGGCCAAGGCAGGTGGATCACAAGGTCAAGAGATCGAGAACATCCTGGTCAACATGGTGAAACCCCGTCTCTACTAAAAATACAAAAAATTAGCTGGGCACGGTGGTGCATGCCTGTAATCCCAGCTACTCGAGAGACTGAGGCAGGAGAATTACCTGAACCCAGGAGGTGGAGGTTGCAGTGAGCCGAGATCGCGCCATTGCACTCCAGCCTGGGTAACAAGAGCGAAACTCCGTCTCAAAAAAAAAAACTTAACACATTTCTGTTAAGTATAGTAAATTGTTGGATGACATAAATGGCAAACCTGAGTTAATGACATAGATCCCTGTATGGTAGTCCCCCTTATCCATATTTCAATACCCCCACTGGATGCCTGAAACCACAGATGGTACTGAACCCTGTATATTTATGTTTTTTTAACTTAATAGCCTAGATGACTACTAAGTGACTAACAGGTATAGCATTGATATAGTTTGGATCTGTGTCCTCATTCAAATCTCATGTTGAATTGTAATCTCCAGTATTAGAGGTGGGGTCTGGTGGGAGGTGATTGGATCATGGGGGTAGATTTCTCCTGAATGATTTAGCACCATCCTCTTGGTGCTGTCCTCAAAATAGTGAGTGACTTTTCACAAAATCTGGCTGTTTAAAAGTGTGTGGCATCTTCTCTCTGTGTTGCTCCTGCTCTGGCCATGTGATATGCCTGCTCCCCCTTCACTTGTAAGTTTCCTAAAGCCTTCCCAGAAGCCAACCAGATGCCAGCAACATGCTTCCTGTACAGCCTGCAAAGCCATGAGCCAATTATACCTCTTTGCTTTATAAATTACCCAGTCTCAGTTATTTTTTATAGCATTATGAGAATGGACTAATACAAGGACCTACAGTATGGATACACCAGACAAAGAGACGATTCACACACAGGAGGGTTGGAGTGGGATAGTGCAAGATTTCATCACGATACTCAGATTGGCACACAATTTAAAATTTACGAATTATTTATTTCTGGAGTTTTCCATGTAATGTTTTCCGACCTCAGTTGATTGAAGGTAACTGAAACCATGGAAAGAGAAACTGTGGCTCAGGGGAACTACTGTATCCATTACCTGTGACTACATGTCAAACAATTACACAGAATTAGGGATTCCTTTCTCCACTTGTCTTTTTTGGGGGATTTCCTCCAAGTTCTCTCTGGCTTCCAACAGTTCCTCTTCCCAACTCCTCTGTCTAGAAGGACAGGTTTTCTCCCAGGTGACCATGTCACTGTACAAGGCAGGGAATGGCTTCAAGGCAAGGGAGGGAAAGAAAAAAGCAATCAGCAGTTTCTACCACTTTCTCTAGCTTTCAGCAGCCTTTTTTCCTGGTCCTGTGGCTACATGGTCAGGCTTCTCTCTGATGTTTTGCTGATGGTGTCTGATTGACAATTCCCAACTCATTCTGTCTTCAGATCAAAGCGAAGAGGTAGAGAAGAAAAAAATAAAAACAGGAATCTCACCATTCCTGTATCAGTCTTTCTTCAGGTTTGAGTTCCCTGCCCAATCTGCCTGCTATTATTTACTTTTCAGAGTCCTTGGGTAGTTATTCTTTATCGTTTATCTTGAGGTTTTAGTAGTGATCAATCAGTAGGAGACATGGGCAGCAGTGGACTTACTCTATTCTGGTCAGAAATGGAATTTGTCAATCTAATGAAAAAATGTTATAACTCCTATTTTTCTTGTGAAGAGCGAGGTTGAGAGCATCTTCTCAGGCTAAAGAGACATTTGTATTTCCTAGTCTGTGAACTATCTATGTATATACATTGTCTAATTTTCTACTAAGTATAGAAACTCTTTATATAATAGTAAGAGTAGTCATTTTTCTTATGAGTGTCAAAACTTTTCCTCAGTTTGTCATGTCCTTTTATTTCTCTTATGCTATTTTGTTTGTTTGCTTGTTTTTGTTTTATTTATTTGCCAAGAAAACTTTTTCTAACTGGTCAATTTTACCAAATTTTCTGTTATTACTAACTACTTCTGGGTTGGATCATACTTAGAAATATCTCCACCTCTCTTCAATTACTTATTTTTTTAATGGAGTCTAGCTCTGTTGCCCAAGCTGTAGTGCAGTGGCGTGATCCTGGCTCACTGTGACCTCAGCCTCACGGGGTTTAAGTGCTTCTCTTGCCTCAGCCTCCCAAGAAGCTGGGACTACATGAACCACCATGCCCAGCTAATTTTTGTATCTTTAGTAGAGATGGGTTTTCACCATGTTGGTCAGGTGGGTCTCAAACTCCTGACCTCAAGTAATCCACTTGCCTCGGCCTCCCAGAGTGCTAGGATTATAGGTATGAGCCATCATGCCTGGCATCAATTACTTTTTAAATCCTTCCATGGTTTGTTTTTTACATCTCCTGATGTTACGTTCTTTACTTTAAAAATCTGACAAATCGAGAATTTGTTTTCACGTGAGGTAAGTGGAGTGGATTCAATTTTGTATCTTAATAGCTATACATTTTTCCAACCCCATTTCATTAATAATCCATCTTTCCCCTACTGATTTTAAATGCCACGACTTACATATACTAAATTTCCTATTTATGAACTTTATATTCTGTATTATCAATCCTTTGGTTTATCTATGTACAAGACTCATAAGATTTTAATTTTTGAACCTTCATAATACTTCATTCTCTTTCTTTAAACTCTGCAATACCATCAGAAAAGCCAACTCACCCACCCACCTAGCTGTTCCTGTA